AAGGCCAGGAGCTACTAGTAGCGTCCTTGCTTCTTGCTCCTAGTAGCGATGCCCTTTGTTCCTAGTAGATTCTTGTTCCTAGTAGTAAGGCCAGGAGCTACTAGTAGCATCCTTGCTTCTGCCCTTTTTTCCTAGTTGCTTCTTGTTCCTAGTAGTAAGGCCAGGAGCTACTAGTAGCGTCCTTGCTTCTTGTTCCTAGTGGCGATGCCCTTTGTTCCAACTAGCTTCTTGCTCCTAGTAGTAACGCCGGGAGCTACTAGTAGCGTCCTTGCTTCTTGCTCCTAGTAGCAATGCCTTTTGTTCCTAGTAGCTTCTTGTTCCTAGTAGTAAGGCCAGGAGCTGGTAGTAGCGTCCTCGCTCCTAGTAGCGATGCCCTTTGTTACAACTTACTAGTAACTTCTTGTTCCTAGTAGTGAGGTCAGGAGCTACTAGCAGCGTCCTTGCTCCTAGTAGCGATGCCCTGTTGCTACCGGTTTTGGATTGCAACCAAGACAGACTTTGCGCCTGAAACATATCATCAGTGCAATCGTCGAGGCCATCCAACTCAATGTAAATGCTGACCTCTCACAATCCGCAGCCACTTCAGTGTTGTTTGTAGAACATGAACTTTCTCAAAGACTTTCAGGTTTTGAATGCTTTCGGTGCAGCTGATCGTAGAATCCAGTGATTTGATTTTAACTCACCACACTTTACCTTGACGAGCTGACCAACTGGCCAACAAATCTGACTGAGTTCTGGCTGCGTCCTGCCTGCTTCTTTCCATCCCCCCAGCTATACTTGGTGATCGCATCGCCAGCACTGCTCATGTCCTCCAAATCGGATCGCGCTTCCCAAGCTACTAGGAACAAGAAGCTACTAGGGAATCCGCCGACCCCACACCGTGGGGTGAGGCGTGACTGTCGATGTTAGCCTTAGCCTTAAGCCTTAGCCTTAGCCTTAGCTTTATCCTTAGCCTTAGACCTAGTCCTTAGCCTTAGACCTAGACCTTACCTCCCCTACCCCTCCGGACCCTTGTTGCAGTGACGAAATCCGGTTGGAATTCTCCAGGAAAGCTACCTGATTGCGACGTGGATTCTGCCATCCCAATTGATTTACATCTTGGGGCACCCTCTCGACCCGCGCGGGAAAATAAGCAGGGTCCAAAATGGTCCTGGGCTCGAATCCCGGGCTGGTCGCGGCATGGTCCCGGCCAATGCCCTTGCTTTTTCGTAGATTTTGTCACGTTTTCTGTTGGTTTATGAAATTATCAAAGGCTTTTCTGGCATTTTCCTAGGAATGCTCTAGGCTTTGTCTAGATTTTGTTATGTTTTCGGCTGGATGCTTTTCCTAGAATTTTCTAGCGCTTCCTCTTGTTTTTAGGTTCCCAGATTTCTCCCAAAAATTGGTAACCTTTTGCTAACCTATGGAACTTTGAAAGGCTTTTCTAGCATTTTCCTAGGAATGCTCTAGGCTTTGTCTAGATGTTGTTATGTTTTCGGCTGGATGCTTTTCCAAGAATTTTCTAGCGCTTCCTCTTGTTTTTAGGTTTCCAGATTTCCCCAAAAAATTGGTAACCTTCTGCTAGTTCCCGGCCAATGCCCGTGATTTTTCCTAGGAATGCTCTTGGCTGCACTTAGATTTTGTTACGTTTTCGACTAGATGCTAGGAATGCTCTAGGCTTTCTTTATTCGGGAGGGTGCTTTTCCAAAAATTTTCTTGCATGTCCTCTTGACTTAGGTTCCAGATTTGCACCAAAAATTGTTAACCTTTCGGTGAGGAACGCATCATCATCACCACGGGGTTCATGCAAGAGATCACGTATGGTAAATCTGGGAGGTACCCACAAAGTCGACTTTTTGGGTACCTGCTGTGGTGGTGATGGGTCTGAACTCTTAGGCAATGATATCCCTTATGGGGAGAAGGGTTCAGCATCACGGGGTTCACGCAAGCGATGACGTCCGATGGTAAATCTGGGAGGTACCCCACAAGTCGACTTTTTGGGTACCTGCTTTGGTGGTGATGGGTTGGGTCACCGGGAGAAACCGATCGATTCAGCACAAGTCCGGGCGCCAAGTCGACTTTTTGGGTACCTGCTTTGGTGGTGCTGGGTTGGGTCTAAATTCTTGGGCAATGATATCCTGTTCATGCAAGCGATGACGTCCGATGGTAAATCTGGGAGGTACCCAAAAAGTCGACTTTTTGGGTACCTGCTTTGGTGGTGATGGGTTGGGTCACCGGGAGAAACCGATCGATTCAGCACAAGTCCGGGCCGACACTTGTGGCACTTGAATGTACCCTAGACCATGGGCAGCGCCCTGCGGCCCCACAGGCTGCAGAACCCAACGCGTCACGGGGTTCATGCAAGAGCTGACGTCCGATGGTAACTCGGGAGGTACCCAAGAAGTCGACTTTTTGGGTACCTGCTTTGGTGGTGCTGGGTTGGGTCTAAACTCTTGGGCAATGATATCCTTTATGGGGACGAGGGTTCAGCATTACGGGGTTCATGCAAGAGATGACGTCCGATGGTAGACCTGGGAGGTACCCAAAAAGTCGACCTTTTGGGTACCTGCTTTGGTGGTGAAGGGTTGGGTCTAAATTCTTGGGCAAGGATTGGGGTTCATGCAAGAGCTGACGTCCGATGGTAAATCTGGGAGGTACCCGAAAAGTCGACTTTTTGGGTACCTGCTTTGGTGGTGCTGGGTTGGGTCTAAACTCTTGGGCAATGATATCCTTAATGGGGACGAGGGTTCAGCATCACGGGGTTCATGCAAGAGATGACGTCCGATGGGAAACCTGGGAGGTACCTGCTTTGGTGGTGATGGGTTGGGTCACCGGGAGAAACCGATCGATTCAGCACAAGTCCGGGCGCCGATACGTGTGGCATTTGAATGTACCCTAGACCATGGGCAGCGCCCTGCGGCCCCACAGGCCGCAGAACCCAACGCGTCACGGGGTTCACGCAAGAGCTGACGTCCGATGGTAAATCTGGGAGGTACCCAAAAAGTCGACTTTTTGGGTACCTCCTTTGGTAGTGCTGGGTTGGGTCTAAACTCTTGGGCAATGATATCCTTAATGGGGGCGAGGGTTCAGCATTACGGGGTTCATGCAAGAGATGACGTCCGATGGTAAACCTGGGAGGTACCCAAAAAGTCGACTTTTGAAAAAACAGAGACAGTCCTCTATCGTGGAACCCACCTTTGCAGTTTGGCCTGCGACGGGTCCTCGGCGATAGAGTGTGCCTGGACAGCAAGATATAGACGCGGACTCGTCGGTCAGGAACGCATCATCATCACCACGGGGTTCATGCAAGAGATCACGTATGGTAAATCTGGGAGGTACCCACAAAGTCGACTTTTTGGGTACCTGCTGTGGTGGTGATGGGTCTGAACTCTTAGGCAATGATACCCCTTATGGGGAGAAGGGTTCAGCATCACGGGGTTCATGCAAGCGATGACGTCCGATGGTAAATCTGGGAGGTACCCAAAAAGTCGGGGTTCATGCAAGCGACGCGATGACGTCCGATGGTAAATCTGGGAGGTACCAAAAAACTCGACTTTTTGGGCACCTGCTTTGGTGGTGCTGGGTTGGGTCTAAATTCTTGGGCAATGATATCCTGTTCATGCAAGCGATGACGTCCGATGGTAAATCTGGGAGGTACCGGGAGAAACCGATCGATTCAGCACAAGTCCGGGGGCCGACGCTTGTGGCACTTGCATGTACCCTAGACCATGGGCAGCGCCCTGCGGCCCGACAGGCTGCAGAACCCAACGCGTCACGGGGTTCATGCAAGAGCTGACGTCCGATGGTAACTCGGGAGGTACCCAAAAAGTCGACTTTTTGGGTACCTGCTTTGGTGGTGCTGGGTTGGGTCCAAATTCTTGGGCAATGATATCCTTTATGGGGACGAGGGTTCAGCATTACGGGGTTCATGCAAGAGATGACGTCCGATGGTAAACCTGGGAGGTACCCAAAAAGTCGACCTTTTGGGCAATGATCGGGGTTCATGCAAGAGCTGACGTCCGATGGTAAATCTGGGAGGTACCCAAAAAGTCGACTTTTTGGGTACCTGCTTTCGTGGTGCTGGGTTGGGTCTAAACTCTTGGGCAATGATATCCTTAATGGGGGCGAGGGTTCAGCATCACGGGGTTCATGCAAGAGATGACGTCCGATGGTAAACCTGGGAGGTACCCAAAAAGTCGACTTTTTGGGTACCTGCTTTGGTGGTGATGGGTTGGGTCACCGGGAGAAACCGATCGATTCAGCACAAGTCCGGGCGCCGATACGTGTGGCATTTGAATGTACCCTAGACCACGGGCAGCGCCCTGCGGCCCCACAGGCCGCAGAACCCAACGCGTCACGGGGTTCATGCAAGAGCTGACGTCGCTCTTCTCCCCCACAAAACGCATAACACAGACACCGGCTGCCTCTCACCCGACGACTTGGGTGATCCTGCATTTTGCTCCAGGGGTGCTCCAGGAAACCCTACCCTCCCCACATCCAGGACAACGTCCTTCCTCCCACCGTGGAACCACCCGCTTCCACACCCTTCCGTC